GGGCCTGTTGCGACAGGACAAGGGGGAATGGCTTTAAACTAAAGGGGGGTAGATTGAGACTAGATATAAGGAAGAAATTTTTTACGCTGAGGGTGGTGAAACACTGGCACAGGTTGCCCAGAGAGGTGGTGGATGCCCCATCCCTGGAAACATTCAGGGTCATGTTGGACGGGGCTCTGAGCATACTTGATCTAGTTGAAGATGTCCCTGCTTATTGCAGGGGGCTTGGACTAATGACCTTTAGAGGTCCCTTCCAACCCAGACCATTCTATGATTCTGTGATTTATTAATCTAATCTTGCATTTTCTCCTTAAAGCCAAGTGTTATTGCAACGTTTGTGTGATTCAGACTCTCCGACTCTCCTGGAAACAAGCAGGTAGGACATCTCAGAAATTAATGCATCATTAGTGTAGTTCTGCTATGTTCTGAGGCCTGGGAAGAAAATTGACAAGTGGGCTCACTATTTTATTATCCTCTCATCCTACCTTTTTGTCATTTCCGCGTTGTTCTGGAATTGATTTGCTGTGAGCTAGATTCCTGTTTCTGTCGCATCGTTCTCATTGTTTTGAATTTACACTTGCACAGCTAAAATCAATGAATTGACTTCTGATTTGTTAAATGGGCAATTCTTGTCTAGGTTGTTGTTAACTTGCCTCTCCCAGCCTGAGGTGGCCAGTGTCTGGGTTGAGAGAATCCGAGAAAACCCTTCTGTGTATGACTGTGTTTGCTTTATCATGTCCAGCTCTACAAATGGTAAGTTGCCAAAACAAGCTGGGAATTAGTGGGTGTTTGCAGAAAAAAATAAGAACTGAAGTATGCAGTTTCAAAGACAAATATTTTCAACTGGGAGTACAGAATTTCTTTAAAGTAAACCTCATGAATTTAAAGGACACCAAAATGAACTTGTCCTGCCTTTGCAGGTTTATATATATATGTAAAACCAACCAGAAAAGCACCCATAGAGGAAGAAGAAAGCTCTGTGGGGGAATAAAAATAAGTCTAATAGAAGAAATTTTTATTCGGCACAGTAAAGGAAAGGACATAGCCCTCATTCAGGGATATACACATGTCATTTTTGATCCTTGAAACAAGACCTCATTTAAAATTTTTTTCAAATTAGATATGTATTTTCCATTTTTAAAACTACCATACTTGAGGAATGTGAACTGGAGGAATGATTCAGTTACTCTGAATGGCAGCAGAATATGTCACAGGCTTTAGGTATGCAGTCAGCGATACGCAAATCTTTCTTAGCACTGATTTAGCAAAAACCACACTAAGCACCTAATCATGGAAATATTTTGAATAGCATTTATTTTTCACATCCAACTCAATTGTAACAGGAGTTATCATTTGTCTAGGAATCCTAATAATTTAGCTTTTTCAGTTTTTTTTTTTTTTTTTTTAATGACAACGCTCAGAAATCCTGCTCCGTCCAATTGAAATCACAGATCTACTTAAGTAAAATGCAGATTGGCAGGTGTAATGTTAGCAGAAAACTGCATATTTAGGGACAAATCTTGGAAACTTTTACTTCGGAAGCAGAAGTTACGACTTTTCAGGAACCTGAGTCTCTTTGCAGAATAATGTTCCTGCTTTATAAGTGGCATGATAAGGTAGAAGGTGCCTGTGGGCTTTCCAACAGTCCCTATTTATCAAACTCTTCACCTGGTCTGTGCCACAAAAAGGAAATAAACATAGCAACCATGAGTAGGTCATGAATGAAACTAATATATTTCAGCACTGAATTTACTCTGAATACTTTTATATATTAGCATTTTGCGAGCTAATTTTTGCTCTTTGTTTTTAGTCTTGTTGAAATGTACACATTCTCTCTTGTGCAGTTGAATTGCTGGTAAAAGTGGGTGAAGTGGTGGACAAACTCTTTGATCTAGATGAAGAGCTGATGTTAAACTGGATTAAAAATGGCACTTGTCGGTCTGTGGGACCGTCTGTAGATGATTCTCCTGAAAAACTTCCAGATTTTAAGATTGTGCCTTGCATACTTGAAGCAGCCAAACAAGTCCGGTATGTAAGATTTCTTTTCGGTTTCATGGCTGGGGAGACTCCTTATAACCTTGTTAAAGCCTGTGTCTGAACATCTTGATTTTGGTGGGAGCTACATAGTTTGACAGATCATTAGAATACATTTCCCTGTACTTACCATTTGAAATGAGTCAACCAGTTTGTTAGCAAAGAGAACGGCAGTGATTGCTGATAGTCTTCTGTGTGTCCAAAACACACAGAATGTAAACTCAGTAATCAGATCTTTAATTTGTCTTTGTTTTTTGTTTGTTCTGTGTAGATCAGATAATCCGGAAGGACTTGATGTCTATATGCATATTTTGCAGCTCCTGACCACGGTGGATGAGGGTATTCAGGCCATCGGTAAGACACTTGAATTGCTGCGTGTGATAGAACCAAGAATGGCAATAACTTCTAGATCATCAGATATTTAACGGGGAGAAAAACAATTCATGTACCTAGATTAAATTTGATGGGTTGGTGGGTTCTCTTTCTTTCTTTCTCAAGTGCAGGCTCCTGATGGAGGAAAAGAGACTTGGAGTTTGCTTTATGACCTCATTTGCCATGAACTTTGCCAGCCAGATGATCCACCGATCATTGTGCAGGAGCAAAAGACTGTGTTGGCCTCTATTTTGTCCGTGCTGTCTGCTATGTTTGCTTCACAGTCAGAACAAGAATACATCAAGATGAGGAAAAGCAAGTCGTGCTTTTTTCTGTTCTTTCTTTTTAAAGTTCTTTTTACAATTGACTTTATGTATGTGGGGTGAAAGGTGGTTAATTTATTACTGTTTACTAGAGATCAGAACAGAGAATTCAGTTACATGTTTGAATACAGTAAGGCTCTTTTCTGGTGACTCTCAAAATCACAGCTAGCTCAAAGTTCAGTTACTGGATATCTCTGAAGAGTTACAGTAATAGAATCTACAGATTATGTTCGGTCTTCTCCATTGGGTAAATGAATGAAAACTGCAGAATTCATCTTTGCTAAAATACGAGGTCTTGATAGTAATGTTTTTTTTTAGTAGAGGGAGATTCTGCACTTACTTAAACCCATCTTTATCACTTGTTACTTTTCAATCCATTGACAAGTCTTTTGAATTAGAAGCCTATCTTGAGAATGTGAGTCAGGGTCATCTGCAGCAGAAAGACGTTGTGTTGGTTTGGTTTATCAGATAGGATTATCTGGATGCAAATTTAACTTACTAGCCTCTGAGTTACTACTAGAGACATTTTCCTTCTCACATTCCTTACCACTGGCATATACTTCTTATGGATACAGGTTTTGGGTTTTCTACCACATTTCCACTTGCTTTTTTAAAACAGTCTTTGATAAAACACAACACTTAGATTATACGTTCCTGTAGCTGTTGTATAAAATCTTGTGGTGTGTTTCAAAATTCTGATGCCTTAAAAGGATGGGGAAAAACTTTCAGTGTTAAACTTCCATTTTCTTGTTACTTTATATTAGATATGCCTCTGGTTGGGAGCTTGATTCGTATCTTACAATACATGGAGGGCTGTGCGAAGACATCTGTTGATAACTCAAAGGATTCTGAACAACAAGAGACTGGAAGGGCCGATCTAAACGAGGAAGATTTCCATTTAAAAATTTTGAAGGATATTTGCTGTGAATTACTTTCCAATATGCTTCAAGAACTGACCAAGGTAAGAATAAACAAAATTCTAAGAGGGATTTCTGCAGGGTAGGTAAGAAAAAAGACGTTACTATTAATGTGCACATTTTTCTGCGCAAGTGAAGTTGCATACTGGAAATTAATTAGAGAATCAATCAGAAGGTGAGTAGCAATGTGTGTTAGATGGCAGGGACACAGGTTTTCTGAGCTGTATGCCTTCAGGGCCAAGATTCTGTATGATAAATTCTCCAGGTGTATGTTGCCATTTCTTTTGAATGCAAGTCAATTTATTTAAGAAAAGGAAAGAGTATCAATATATAAAGTCACCTTCTCAGCTGGACTTCTTTATTGTGGGAGCATTCAGATTAAGAGACTTGTGGTGTGTGAGCTTTCACACCTTTTTGTATTAGCTACATCTGGCATTCTCTGAGAACTGTAAGTTCGGGTCGTTATACCCATTTTTGAGGACGAAGCACATACTGTAGACACTGTGTGCACAATTTCGAGTTTGTTCTTTCGACAACTGTTCATGACATGCTAGTTGTATTTCTCGTTGTATTTCCCAGGAAAATACGTTAGAAGGACTACACCAGGGACATTTAAATGAACAGACATGTTCCTGTGCGTTTCAGAACCTCTTACCTCTGTATTTCACATCGGTGAGTATATGACAAGGTCTTTAACATAGCTGAAAAAATACTACTCGGGTGGTAAGGCCTTTCAGAATCAGATGTAGAGGTGGGACAGAGTTGCTCAGACACAGGTAATGTGCCATTCTAGACACTTAGCCTCTCTGTCTCTTCTGGCTTACTTCAGCCAGAGCTTTGCTTAGATCATCAGCTGATACAAGGGTCAAACTGTGCTGAAATGAAGGAATGTCTGCAAATTTATGCTAGCTGAAAATTTGTCCTGTACATTTTTATAGAATAATTATTCTAAATATTTTTCATAGGGTGCTTTTCTTTGTGTACTTTTAAACAATAAAATAAGAGTTTGGGGAAGGCGATAATGTTTCAAAATTTAGACCAACTGAAACTGTGGGGTTTAGGATGAAGTTATCTACTGTGGAGCATTTTCCATTATTCTTTGCAGTGGCTGCTGCTGGCTGCTGTTGGTGGGAAGGTAGAGGAGTAGAGAGATCCCCTATACCAAGTGTAAGAATTCTGTGTTCCATGCAAGTTTGTTTTTTTTTTTTTTCTTCTTTTTGTGTGTGTTTGCAATTTATTTCCAGGTGGAGAGTTTCCTGGAAGTTCTGCGTGAGGCTGATCAGACACTTGCTGACAATCTAGAAAAACGTTTCCCAAGCCTGAAGGTTCACGCCTAAGAATGTGCATGAAATATCTTCCTTCTTTGGAATGAAGATTTTTGACTCTTTCATTAGTGTTTCAGCAATCAAGTTTTCAATAAACGCAGGAGAATGAGGCAACCTCCTTACCAACAGGTGGCTTTTAAGAAATGTTGCAGGTAGCCCTGATTAACCTAGGGTTAATCTGCTCTGCATGGGGAAGGAAATTACTGTAAATTCAGTTCTGCATCTTCCATCCTGTTTGCCCTGGTGATGAGATCAACTGTTGATTTCTTGTTGCTCTTCTGCAGCATAGTGTTCTTTGAATAACTCTTGATTTTGTGCTTTTCAACTGAAGTTGAAACAGCAAAATGAACAAAATGCACTGAGTAGGTTTTTAACATGATGCTGGTTTCTTCCAAGTTGCTGTTGGCAAAAGGAGGATTGATCAGTAGGAAATCTCAGATGTCCTCTGCCTAAGGACCTTCAGGCACCTGATAAAAACCAAGAGTTGAATTACACGGAGTTGTTTAGGGTTTTTTTTCTTTCTTTTTTTTTTTTTTGTCTTTTAGATCATATCAGTACCTCGAGCAGGTATTGTAACAGAAACGTTTCATCCTGCTCCTTTAAAATCTTCACACTTCTTACATTGAAGCCTCTTCTACACTGCAGCTCTGAGCTGTGGCATCTAGGTCCTGTGCAGTTTAAAGGGTTTGAGAATATGGTTACCGATGGTCTATGCTGCAGCTTCCAGCCATTGCAGCCAGTTACCCAGAGTTAGAGTTGTAGGGTAGGTTTGGATTTAATCTGTGGCATACTTGCAAACTCTCTGCTCTTGTAAAGCAGTCTGTACTTCAGTTCAGGAATGTAACATGTATCAGACAATTCTTTCCTCATTCATGTATCTTATGAATTATCTGTGAATGATATTAGAAATGCCACGTTAGCCTTGGTTTTTCAGGGGAGCTTAAGGTGTTAGGTCACTTGCAGTAAATTCAGTCTACAGTCTTCTAAGAATCCCACTTTTAATGTAATGCAGTTAAAACACAATGCAATTTTTAGATCACTTGCCTGCATGCAGCGCAGCTAATGTTTTCTGTGTCTGAAAAGACAGTATAGCAACACATCAGCTTCACTGTTTCTATAAATGAGAGTGGAAAACAATTGATCTTTTATTAGGTTTGGGATGTAAAAGAAGATGGGAACCAGAGCATAGAGAATAACTTAATACCATATACACACATTCCCTGGCTCTCCAGGTTTTTACAGACTTTAAGTATTAATGTGCTGGGCCATGTTCTGTTTGCCCTGAGTCACCTGTACATGTGGTAAAATACAGTATGTGTATATGTATATAGCCTTTTCATCCAAACTTGCAGTTTTCAAAAATAGTGCAATTTAATCATTCCCTTGGGCTGCCAGCAGCATCTTAGTTGTCGGCAGGGGATTTAGAATTACAAATATCTGACTTGTGTCACCAAAAAGAATTGCCATGGTTTCTGTCAATTTTTTTATGCTATGTTTATTGGAGAAAACTGGTAACTGTGAATAGGATGACAACATTTTTCATACTACTTTGACAGTTTTTGGATATTTTCTTAAACCTACAGATTTGTAATAAAGTTTCTTTTTAAAAAAAAACAACTGTATCCTTTCCTTCATTCTAAGTGTCAATTACATTTGTTTTCTGAGCCACTGGAAGTGTCTGTTACTCCCAAGTACGTCATTTGTAAGAGGAAAATTGAACCTCTTCATAATGTCAATGTCCTGTAGAATATGTTGTCCTTCATTGGATATTCATTTTACCTCTCGCTTTCTTTGCTTAGTCATTTTTATGGTCTGGAAGTTAATGTCTCTCATCCAGTTGTTAACATTTTTCTGAGCTTAGTTTGTCCCCAGGTGTATCATAAGTATCTTTATGATAGTACACCATAGTTAAGAATTATTTCTGTCTTGAATTACTTGTGTCTTGAAATCTGTTGTCGTTGTTGAAGTTTTGTGGTAGTTTAATGTAATATACAAAAAAGCTGAGACAAGTTCTGTTGTTTTATTTTGTTCCTTCTTTATTTCAATACACAAGTATCCAGTGTTGGCTGATTAATTGTTAAACGTGGTATCACTAATTACAACGAGTAGGCGAGACACATAATTTCCCTGATATAATTATTGCCTAATTGGGATGATACCTAATGCCTGTCATGTGGTAGAAAAAACGGCCGATGTCAATAAGTGGGAAACCGATTGGGTCCCATCCTCCCGCTCTTCTGCAATTGAAGAAGCTGTAGAAACGGGTCCATCAGCTTTGCTTCAGCAGAATGATAGTTCGAGTATGCCGGGAATTCTTATCCTTGATAAATATGGTGAAATGGAGTCTGAATTCCCCCTTTGCCCCACCAAACAGCTGCTCTTGTGCAGTCTGTGCTGCCTGGGTGGGCCAGCGCTGTCTTTAGGAGCAACAGGCTGGCGCCAAATTGAATGCAAGGTAAATGTGCAAAGTTTTTGGCATTCAGATGTGGAAGAAACTATTTGTGGTAGCGGGTGGATGATGTGTTTGGAAGTGGTGTGCGTGTATTTCATCGTCTTGCCAGCAGGGATCTCCCTTAGCCTGTGCTTTGTGAACATCGTGTGTGGGTTTTTTGGTGGTGGTGGGGTTTTTTTGTTTATTTTTTGTTCCCTCTCCTAGCCATGCTTTGACACCGACTGGCAAGCCAGATCTCTCTGGGCTAGTTGATTCAGAATGGCTATCTATCTGTACAAGCAGGCAAGCAGCTTTCTTCCAGACCAAAGATCTGATTACCTCCATAACACCCTCCTTTTGGGGGAAAAAAGAGAAGTACTTGTCACTGCTTTGTGCAGAGCTCTGAAGAAAAGGCGAGTATCTGAAGCATTGAACTAAAGTAACAGGAACGCGCTGTTACCTCCTGCTTGGACAGAGCTGGATGTGAATTGTGGCACGAGCACACCTAGAAAATAGAGGTAGAAATCAGACTGGAAGGCCTTAAATTAGACTTAATAGATCCATATAATAATTTCATTCAAAGATAGGATTCTAATATTCTTTTGACTCATGTTTTATGTACATTTGGCATCTTTATCCCACACAGTAACTTTTTCCTGATGGGGCAAAGAAATATAAACCCAAAGAAATTTGGTATGTGGAGAAAAATCAATGATACTAGAATGCTTCATCTGCTCCCTTGATGGTGCGAGGAGATTGTTGCTGCTCTTCATAGCCTAATGCTTGTCCAGTATTCATGTCACAAACCTGTCCTTTCTGGTAGAATAAACCATGAAACCTAATGTGCTGGGAAGTTCTTTTCTATGCTTCTCCGTATTCGGGTCACTCTGCTTTCTTAATTTTCTGTCATTGCATGTTTAGTTCATATTTTCTTATAACTGCTATGATGATTCCTTTGTCTGTAAGATTATGCGTTGTTAGTATTGACCTATTATAACTACCTTTGGCTGTAACTAAGCTGAATGCAACCCCCCCCCCCCCACACCCCCCAAACACCCCCCCCCCCCCCAAACCCCCCAAAATTATTTGTTATTCAGCCATCTTCATAGTTTATGATACTGGTATGAAAAGGTAAGGATATGTTACTGTGGTTTTGTTTGTTTTGAAAATCTGTGCTCTTTCCCACTAGCCTTGGATTATATTTTGGCTGTTACTGAGAGTTACAAAAGCAGCAGTATCTGTTTTCTTTTTCACTTGAGAATTTGCTTTTGTTTCTAGAGCAGAATCTCTTGCTCACAGCAGTTCCTTAGCATATCCTTTATTTTTCCCTCAAAATTAAATGTTGCCCATTTTTTTCCTTTTTAATGCTTGCTGTTTACTTTTTTTTGTTCTAGATGATGATGACATTAATGTGCTCTGCCAAACTCAATGAGAAAGGAAGAACCTGCTACACCTGGGGCAAGGACCAGTCTGCTGTAATATTATACGATTTCTCAAAAATCCTTCATGTGAAGGCAAACAAAAGCAGCGAGCAGCTGTGCGTTTGCTCTCCAGTCACGGTCGTGTGCGTCCGTCATGCAGTTAGTGTGCCCCTCAGTCAGAGCTGACAAGGCGTGTGCTAAGTGAACCTGACATCACAAGGTTGGTAAAATAAACCAGTTTATTTCCAATAGCTATTGATGGAGGTTTTGCCATCAGAAATATTGCTCCTATTCCTCCTTTTATTTGCCTCCCCAATTCAATTATTTACCTCTTTTCCAAAAAAATGGTTTTATAATGCAAGGAGCTGGCATCTAAGATTGGTAAGAGAAAAGGTTTGCTCCTGAGTTATTGTGAAGAAAATGAACAAACCCAGGGAAAACGGGTTCTGTTTTCTTTCTTTCCTCCAGTTCAGGTCTTTTGGAGTTAGCTGTGTGTCTTAATGATGTCTCAGAAAAGTCTGAGAGCTGAATTTGATACGAAGACTAATGCAAACAAGATTGCTTGAAAAGGTAACAGTGGTAGGATGCTGTGAAGAGAAGTAAGGCAGTAATACTAGAGAAAGAAAAGAGGTGATGAAGGGGTACTACAGAAAGAAAGAAAGCAGGAAAAACCTGGCAGAATTATGACAAAGGGGATAAAGAGCGAGCAAGTGTAATGTTGAAGGAGAAAAGTACTAAATATCGGTAACAATGTTAGCATTCTAGATTTGTCCAGGTGGAATAGCTTATGTGCGGTCACCTATCAAAAAGGTGTAACGTTGGTTATGTTTTCTGTTTTCAAAGCTGAATCTCTTTTGTAGTTTTTCCTGCTCTCTTGGAAATGAGACAAGTTTAAGGTGAAGGTGAGGTCTTAAAAACCACAGCAGGTGGGCAAATTAGTATTGCTTGATTATTTTTTTTATTTTTAATTTTTTTCATTCTTATTCACCACCCCCCACCACCTCCCCTGTTTTTGCTGGCTGGCTGAGGCATCAAGGAGCCGTTTCACGACGGACGTGCGGCAGTTCCAGGTGTTGCATGCCCTTGCCTCGCACAGGTCTTGAACCTGCCGGAGGTGAGATCTGAAAGCAGAGTCCTACAGGGTTGATGTTTGCGTTGCACACTGGTCTGAGATGAGCACAGCAGACTGCAGCGTACTCCTGGTTTTGATAACTAGTTAGGTGTTGAGGGGAAGGGGCCTGCTTGATGCCTGCCTGTGTTTACTCGAGGAGAACAAAATCCTGCTCTGTCTGTAGTAGCAGTCAGTATGAGTACAAATCTACAATCTTGAGTTTGACTTCAGCGTTTTTATATGAAAACATATTTACCTAAAATTAAAAATTCTGTGTGATTAATATATTGTAACTACTGGGATTAAAATCCAAGCCTTGATGTAACACGCTCGTACATCCATGGTGGTTTCTTCATACATGTGGAGTAGGCATGATGACCGACGGCATGTTTGTGCCTATAATAACTGAAGTCCCATGTCGTTAACACTTCCCCAATTTATGTCCCTTCATCCAATTTCCAAGGAAACCTTAGAAAAGCAAATGCGCCTTGATATTCAGTGTTGCAATGGTGGCAGTTATTTATATTGTGCTTTAGGTTATGCAAACTCCATTTTAATTTTGCAATGAGCTTGTATCAATATTATTTTTGCTGTCACGCACATCATTTTTGGTGACAGCCCTGTTTAAAGAAGTTGTAACTTTAACAAGCCATCTGTTAACCTTAGGTAGAAAGGAAATGCTTTTGTCAATTACCCTAATGAAATCACAAAAATCATTTCCTGGTCTCCAGTTGTAGCCCAGTCATCCTATCTTTTGTCAATAGGAGGATATTGAAACACACAGGAAAATACGTGCACACTTTTATCCTGCCCTGCAATATAGCCAGTGTTGTGTTTTAGTGCAGCAAATTGTAATTAGCCAGTTATGTCAGAAAGTTTTATTTTCCATTAAAAATTCTGTAGTGCACAAACTTTTATTCAACATAAGAGAGTTTCCTCTTTAGTCAGGTAGGAAGGCTGGGCACAGGAACCACGGGAAGACATGTTGAGTTCATGCCAGCCTGATTAGTAAAGATTTTGATTTAATGAGTTAAGAGAGTAGAAAGGAAGGAGAAACACTTCAGCTTAGGTGGGAATAAATAAAACTGAAAAATACTCCATTTTGTCATTTGGGATGAGGCCACTAGAATGGCTGAATGGAAGGAGGAGAAATAGTGGATAGAAAAGGCTGGAGTAATGGGAAAGGGAAAAATGAATGGTGAAAACATGGAAGACCAAGGAAGGACTCCGGCTTTGCGAGCTCTTTAGATGGAAGACATTTATGAGGGGATAAAAAGAAACATGGGAAATTGCCTATGAGCTGGCAAATGATGTAGGTTCAAGGAAAGTCTTTGAGGGACCTAAATGTGTTGCCGCTGTGCAGAGTGAACTGTTCACGTGGGAAAGTCCCAAGCCCAAACAAAGGGAAGATTTGTCCTTTCCCTTTTTCTCCTCTTGGAGAGGATTTGACAACTCATAAAAGGAGGTGGGAGATAGATGCAGAAGATACTGGCATGGAGTTGCTCTGGAGTGGGGCTGGAGTTGCCCAGGCCAATTCTTGTGCAGTGCATGTGTTTACGGGTACAAGGGACAAACCCAGCAAGAGCAGTCAGGTGTAGCCCCGAGAGGCAGACTTCTTGCAGCCTTCCTGCTTCTCCAGCCTTTCTGGATGCTAGAGCGGGTGGGTAAGGCCAGCATCCAGCACTGTGTTGGGGCAGCATCTGTGCAAGTGTGTTTTGGAGCCCACCCTGCTCGCTTCCCTCTTGAGCAGTGCTCTCCAGCGATGGATGAACTTAAGGATCAGAATCAGATCTTTTATTGCAATGTTATCACTAACGGACCTGGAGCCAACCCTCAAGATGGAAGTGTTGAAAATAATCCCAGCGCTACTCCACAGCTGTCACCTTTGCATTAGAAGAGCTCTTAATACTGCACTACCCTCTGTGTGGTAGACTTATTTTTGGTCCATGGTGTAAAGGTTGAGCGCTCTTTTTTGGAAGAACCTGCTGAATGCGACACGGCATGATGTGGTTGCCCTTACAGGGTAAAGGAACTGCTTTCATGATTTAATTAACCAGTCATTCTGCTGATCCCTGAGTTTACTCAGACTTGAAAGAAGTAAACTTAATTAAATTAAACAAAGCTTTTTCCTTCCCACACATGCTCTGGGCCCTTTTGCTTCTTCTCAGAGATAACAAAAAGCTTATGAATAACAGACGCAGTCTTTTTTTTTGTTGTTGTTGACCTGTTGCAGAAGGCCAGCAGGAGAAAGATTATGCACAGGTGCAGTATGTGCATGGCATCAGAGGAAGAGGACATATGGGTGTTTGAAATGAGTGTGTGATTTTTTTTTTTTTTTTTTTAATTTAAATTCCTGTGTTAAGTTGGCAAAAGGATAAAACTGTCAAGGTTTCAGTGTTGCCTGTTGCAGGCCAAGATAATTTTGACAAAAAGTGGTAATGTTCAAGTTCAAACCTTATTAAAACAGAGGAAAGAGATGAGAGGTTTGAATTCAGTTCTCAGCTTATCCAAGGGCTTTTTGTTTTTAACCACCTTAAGCTGGGTAACCCCTTGGTGCCTTGCAATGTGATTCAGCAGCAAATCTGGATTAAGTGTTTTCCCCCAGCCAGAAGTGACTGCCTGTTCAGTTGTACTGCGCAACTGTCTGCCTGTGTGTTTTTGAGAGCATAGCCACAAATTTAAAGTGGTTTTGTTTGTCTGGCCACAGATGGAGAGCATTGTGTAAATGCGCATCCTTGCCCAAATGTGGGCTTTCTGCCTCCTCTCAAATGGAGCTGTTCTGACAGCAGCTTAGGCCTGCCCTCTCTTAACACTGTGTCTTCATTTCTAGTCTTGTGTATGTGTTGGGGAGGTTTATGGAGGGAGATGTAATCACGGGAAAGACAGTTCTCTTATACTCTACTGCATGCACTTGCGTCATGTGTTTGTCATTTGCAAATGACACAGCATGTGTCTATGTAGATGTCATTTACGGTGTGCTGTGCCCAATTTACCAGCAAATCTCTGATAACTACGTTTACTATGTGATTTTTCAGGTGAATTTGGACCTCCCTATCAGTAAATTCATTCTAGACTGTATTGTCTTACTTGTTTGTACTAATAGGGTAAGAGAAAGCGGTTAGGGTGAAAAAGCTCAATAAAACCAAGAAATACCAAATCTATTTAATCCCCTTTGTCCTCTGGAGCAATTCTCCCATCAATTGAAAACAAAGTTGATTAAACACAATTTGTTCTTGACTAAAAACACATTTAAAAATAAGCAAATATTTTGTCCAGGTAGTTTGCCAGATATTAAAAATCAGTTTGACTCATCTAAAATGAACTTTTTTAATTTTTGTAAAAATTAATACTCTCTTTTCCATTTAATTCCTAAAAGCATTGTGAAAAGATGGGAGGTGTGGTGTTAGCTCACTAGATATACTGTTGTGAATTGTACCAAGCTCTACTTGCACAAACACATCTTCGTTAAATTTTCATTAACCTGTTCTGGTCAACACTTGCATCCTCTTGTCAATATTCAGTTATATGTCTGCTCACAGTTTACCAGCCTAATCTTTTATCCATTATCCTGGTTACTGTTTAGCTAATGCTTTTAGCCTTGTATATTCTTATAATGTTATATTTCTCTGAAACAAAATTTTGCACCAAGTGTTACTAAAAGCAAAGCCCTCTAATCAGGCAGATGAAACTCATTAGTGTTACGTTTCAAGGAGCCTTTCTTTGATGCAAACTAATTAATTTTGCCCCATTGCAAAATTGTCCTAACTGTAATGGGAGCTAAAATCTAATAAGATAAAAGAAACTCAGAGGGGAAAAAACGTCTGTCATGAGAACGCAGCGAGATGAACAGCTTTTGCTAATCTTGGAAATGATGATGTGTTTTACAGCTCCGAGGCTGAACATTTTGCAATTGCCGGCGTGTTTAAAGTCCCTACTGTGAACTGATGGGTTTACATTGCTTGCTGGTTTTCATCCTTAAAGCAGAAAGTAACTGTGATTTAATTTACTTTGTTCACACTGACCAGTGGTCAGTGTTAGTACCTAGACC